AAAAAAAAAATCACGATTTTGTAGTTGGTAGGACTACGGCGGCAAGGCAACAATTGAATCATCTGAGCGGCCGTCACTCAACAAGAATAAAAAGAGTGCCTACAAGTAATGTTGGAAAATTTCTTCTTTTTGTTTCACTTTTCTTTCTCTCACTTTTTTTATTTTTTAAAGTAATCAAATCAAACTCTTTTGTAAGTAAAAATAATAAAATACAAAATATTCAAATTACTATCTATGATAAAAAGAGGGCCCAAATCATGGCCCAACATAAGAAAATTAGAATGGGAAATTTAGGCTAAGAAGGACCTAAAAAATAATTTGTGAATTCTGTAGCGATGAGGTCGGAGGTCAAAGTGTGTGTAGCTATAGGTTTTAACGAACAAACTATGGTGGCTCTACGATAGTGGAAGTAGTCGATGTTGGTTATTGATACTGACAGTGGAGTAGTGTGGTTGTGGTAGTCAGCTAGAATGGTACTATTGAAGAAGCTGGTAACTAGTTGATGGACGATTTGTATTTAGCGAGCTATTTTGTATTAGATGAAAGGTTACCTTCGAGGTGGACTGTGATGGTGAATGTCACAGATTTTGCTTTCAATTTCAGGGATGATTTAAGATTTTCAGAGCACCATTAATAGATATGATGAAATAGGGTTGTGGTGATGAAAGCTATTGGTGGGTGTGACTGGAGCTTCTTGAGGTGGTTAGGTGGGGAAGAAAAGGGTGTGATAATTTTTGGTCGGCTTAGGGTTTTCTGTGTATGTGCTTGTTTAGTTTTGGATGTGGGCTCGTGATTAATTTGGGCCAATAGTTTAGTATTGGCAATGGGCTATTGGTTTATGTTGATGTTGAGCTTACGTTTGTGGCTGAAGTGTTTTATAAAAATAAATGGGCTAGGTTATGGGGTGAGCATTTGGATTGCGATTGTGTGGTGTTTCCATATGTCAGGTTTACGTGGTAGATCATGATAAAGATACTGGAAAGTTGTATTTAGATTGGGTTGATGATTGTTGTGATTTGATAATCAATTGCAAGTTACAACCCAGAAGCTAAGAACTCTCCTTCAAATCTTCAAGAGAAGATTAAAGAAATGACAAATTGAAGGCAATCAGTTGTTGGGTTGCAAGTTCGTTGATGTCAGTAGCTAAAGTTAGGGAAAAACTGGTGGTTGTTTATGAAAGTACATTAGTGTTTGTGTGCTACTTCCTTAGCCACGGGTGGTGGGAGACATGTTGGTGAAAGTAGAGAGGTTGAACTAGGTGTTCTAGGAAGCAAATTGATGATGGAATCTAGGTTTAGCTCTGAAGAATCTGAACAACGTGAATTTTGCTGGTGAACAAGTTCTCTTTTCCACTGTCGTTCCCCTCATTTTCTCTTCTTTTCCACGTTTCTTCTCGTTTCTCTTCAGTTCCTCCCTTTTATGCTACCTATTTCTTCTAATCTCTCTTGATGCGAACCCGATTAACACGATCACTAACGAACCCACAAAAGATTGTTGAACCCTAGGAAAGCCAAGAATTAACCTCGATTTGTGGATTTGAATCCCAAGATGACGAACTAAGCAACCCCACAATAATAGTAATATGAAGGACATCTTGATCACGCAACTAAAGACTCACACCCGAATTTTGAATGCCACAACGAAGCACCTTGATAAGTACGAAAATTGTTCTAAGAAGAAGAAAGATTGGAAAGCAAGAATTGCCGCTCAAATTAATTCTCAATAATGTCAAAAGTTGTTCTTACAATCAATATAACAAAGTATTTATCCCAACCCCCAAAAATATTGTCTTGGATGGAAATTATGCTTCAAATATCGAAAAATAATAATTAGAATCAAATTTTATGGAAACTAGATAAGTTAACAAAAATTGAAAATGCATCCAGAAATTTGTACTATACGGTCGCATAGTATAAATCAATGTAGTCGTATAGAACAAATAGTCAGACTCAGTTTTGTTTCGGTAATAGCCTATGCGGTCGCATGGCTTTTAAGCTATAGGGTTGCATAGTTATTTTTTGAAAACCTCCTCCTCTTGTGCGAAATTTCATGATGATTCTGAATTAAATCATCAGCGAAAATCCGA